AGGACACTAACTCTTGAGACTTCAATTATCTTTAAGAAAGTCTTTCCCCTATCTACCCAACTAAGTCATCTCCTAATATTCTTTTCATATCAACCTATCTCCAAGGCAATATTAAGGAGGCAGCTCGGTAGTGTAGTGCACAATGAGCTGGGCTGCTAACTGCATGGTCAGTAGTTCCAATCCAGCAGCTGTTCCGTGGGAGGACGATAAGGCTTTCTGCTCCAGTAAAGATTTACAGCCTTGGAAACCCTACACAGGGTTGTTAAAAGTTAGAATCGACTCAGTAGCATACAATCACCACCACCACCACCATAAAGAGGCAGGTGTCAGCTGATGTATCCACATTTGAATTTGTAAACCAGTGTCTGTCAGACAACTAAGAATCATTAATTTAAAATAAAGTAGCTATCACCTGCCAATGGGCTTATTCTAACACCTGCCCAGGTTAATCACGGAGAGTTCGCGCAGCAAGTTCTTCATCAGCCACAGACCATAGTGTTCAAGTTCCTACACCAACTCAGGTTTCTACGACAGCACAGGAGACACAGAAGTACACAAGGAACTTGCTCAATTAAAGTTCAAAAATCTGAAAAGCAAATCTGTATCACGTATTATAAAATGGGAAGATAAGTTTGAAACAGTTACTACCTTGTTATCTCATCAGCTAGAATTTTATGCAAACCTGTCCGAGGGTAGTGATGTCCTCAGGGGTGATTCCCTGAGTTTAGCTCTGGCAACACTTTTCAACACAAGGGTGGGGTACTCAGCAGTCTGCTGGAAGCCCGAGTGGCTGTGTGGTGTGGAATGATAAGCAGCCAGCCAGAAAGGAAAGCAAGAGGCTAAAGATTGATCTGCAGCAAGTGGCAATATATGTTTTGACCATGGCATATTTAAGGAGTACATTTTACTTTTGCCCAACAAGTTCATACAGGCCACCTTAAAAGAGACTGTATATAATATCTTTATTTAAGAGCCAGGATCTCTCCCCTTCTTCATGAGTCTATGTAAAACACCCCTTGGAAAAAATATTGGGTTTAGCTGATATCTTTGCAGTTGTAAAGGGTTTTGTGAGGAGAACTGGAACTGGGGGTATCTTAGAATTAACTAACTGCAAAGCTACAGATTATGCACAGAGACACCCCCCCCCCCAAAAAAAAAAAATAGGTAATGCAGTCATGAATTCATTTTCAGAATGTAAGTCTGCAGCGACCTGGAGTTACTATAGAGAAACAAAGCTGCCTTTGGGCACCTAAAACTAGTCAGACCTGCTGTAGCAGTTGTTCAGTGGCCAGATATGCTCTCCCTCTCCTCCCCCACCCTATGCATCCACAGAGCTCCCTCTCACTGGGGTGGTGGTCCTGGCCAGGCACACTCACTGTTCATCATGCCATCCCTGCCCCTTGTCCATGCAGCCAGTCCTGGACAGGAGGCAAACGGGACAGGCGGCTGAGCAGGAGGGCAGAGGCCAACTCCATTCTGAACCCCAAACTGCAAGGAGTGTAAGGTTCCAACTTATGTGATTCTGAATTTCTATTTCTAAAAGTCAGAAATAAAATTTGGAAGTTGCTTCAGTGAATTCTGGGAGTTAAGTTCCAATGGTGGACAGAAGACTCAGAAGAAAGAACAAACAGGTCCCTTCTCAGCTAGGACCCACTCAAACCACAAAAGAGAGCATTATTTCCAAGAGTGAGTTTTTACACTGCCCAGGTATGACACTCTAGCAAATGATCAGTGTCTGTCTTACTCCATTAGAAATCTTAGGTTTTAAAATATATTGATATTTTTATTGTATTTCAAAGGTAATTTTTAGGTAGCTACGCATATTATTTGTCTCATGATCTTCAAGGAAAGGGTTGTACACACACAAAAAACAAGACTTCTCTTTAATAGCCAGAATAGGAAGGTCTTCTTACTGGCCTGACATATGCCATTCACAGATTCATACAAAGAATGAACTGCTATGCAGTGCTAATGGAGAGAGACACTGCTCCGCCGCACAATGAGTGATGGGTACTCGGGGACAGTCGTGTTCACTGGGGTTTCCCAGGCATCTGCAACCAGGGGCCGAAGTTCACCACTGATATCAACTGCACTGTCCATTTTGAGACAACCATTTTTAAAAAACAAATGGCAACTCAAGTTACTAGCTGTTTCCTTCAGAAATATAAAGATTAAATGAAATACCCACACACTTCTTAAATAAGACGTCTAGCTTACACGTAGCTCAGCTGTTTTAAGGAACAAATATCAGCAGTACGAAGAAAATATGTGATTTGTGCAAGTGTGTTGTTCACAGGATTTTTAGATGCCCATGCTCTGTCAGTATTAATTAGTGGAAAGATCTGTAGAGCGCGAATGTTACCTTTATTGCAAGGCCATTTTCACTTGGACTGGATGTTGCCCTTTGATGCCTTTAGCATAGGCTCTGATCTTTGGACTCACGTTATCAGACACAGCTTTCTCTCTCTTTTTTTTGCCAAGAAACTATTTCAACTAGAGCTATCTCCTGCAGTCTAAGCCACAACAATATACATGCAGTTTCTGTAGTAAAAAAAGTTTAATATTTTTTGCAAGTTGATTTTTCTGCACATTTGATCTATAAATATTGACAAAGGGCCTTGAGCTTTCTGACATACACTAAATATGAATTAAAGCTTCATCCTTTGCCAGTGCTCTTTAAATAGGATCACAGACAAGAAATCTCTAGAAGTTTCTGCTGCAACTTTTACCTTCCCGAGTTACTGAAGTTTAAATAAAATATTTTGACTGAGGGCAAACTGGTAGTATAATCTGCTACTGCTAATTTGTAGTATGCTACTGATAGAAATAAGTTTATATAATTGTATTCAGACAGCTTTTACTGTCCCACGCTGTTGTGAGCGTGTGTACAACCGTTTCTATCATGTTGTAACTTTTATTTTGCCTTTTAAGGTCTGTTTAAAATAGCAGATGTATAAAAGCTATTAGTCTCCACACAAATTATAGTGAATTCTAAAATACCAGAATACGTGCTACCTGGCTATGCTCATTCTTAATACTTCAGTGCAACTTAGTAAAATTTCTATTTCAGCTTCTCGGCGGAAAAAAAAAAAAAGCTTTAAAGTGGGAGCAAATCAGCAAACAGGAGTCGACAGATTTTCTAAATCTAAGTTGATATCCTTCCTCTTAGTACTTTAAGGGAAACAAGACTGAGCAGCTGTTACCTAAGAAGCAGTGACACTCGCCTGACAATAAAACTGTTCCCTAGGACACTCCTGCAGTATACTGGTTGTCATTATAAAATGTGAGTCCTCTCTCCTACCTGTTATATAATGAAGCAAGGAACAGAGCTGAGTGTTTTAAAAAAAAAAAAGGATAGAAAAAGATAAACGCTGTCGAATCCATTTCCGTTGAGTTCTCACCTGACACCAATATGGTTCTCCACATTTTAACGAAGAGTAGGGAGAAAAAGTAAAATTAAATTTGAAGGGTTCCAAACCTGATGAAAAACAAACAATTATATAATAGTATATAAAATATCTAAGTAAATCAAAAAACCTAAGATCAGGCAAGCAAAGCTCCGTGAACAAGCTAGTAGTCTTCCTCAGGCCAGAAGCTGAGAGCTCAGGATGGGTATTTTCACCCTCCCCAATAGATTATGGGGAGGAAGGGCAGTTCTGGGGGGTGAGCTGTTGTCTTTAGTTAGCTGAGCAACTACCCAGATCAGCAAAACAATCCAGAAGAGCATTCAGGTAGTCAGGTCCCCCCGCGGGCGGTTGAGTGGAGCCAAGGGCCCCACTCCACTCTTGTCAGAGACTAGCCATTTCCTAATTGTCAAAGGCTACTTTCAACACTTGGTCCTCAATGATTCTCCCGTTGGCTCCGTGGCCTAGGCTCTTTACACACATTACGGACATTTCTTAACATACATTGGGAAATCAAAAAGGCCTTTCATGAACAAAGCTTGAAAACATTTATTATTGTCTTTAAGGCTGACTGGAGCTGCCCAATTCTATTCAAATAAACGCCGCTATAGGCTGAGACTCAATATCTCACTCACCCAGAGGAGTGCCCCTCCCCATTTCAGTGCTCGTAAAAACCTACTTTCTTCATACGGAAACATCCTGAAACTACCCAACTTGAAAGCACGAAATCATCCTAAAACAAATTATATCTAAAACTATGAGCTCTCCTCCCAGCTCAATTAGTGAGAGGTAACTATTTCATAGCCAAGAAAAAAATTGTGAGAACAATTTTTGACTTTCTCTAGATGTAATGGCCCCCTGACAGCAACCCTTACCTAAATGGTACAAAGTCCAGGGCTTGGGACAGCTGGCTCCCCTCAGTCCCCCTCCCTTTTAGTCACAGGCGGTCACCACAAAGATGACTTGTAGAATTCTAATTTAAAAAACCAATGAGACTCGAAGTTTAATACACGCACATATCCAAAATCAATTCACTTGGGCGCTCAGGGGAAAATACAGCGTTGGAAGTAGAGGGGGAAAGGTGGGGGACAGGGATGCTTCTACGCTAAAAACACAAGGGAAACTCACAGAAACACTTTACAGCAAGTTGACTGCAAACCTGACCAGAGAACTCCAAAGTGAAGCCGTCTTCACGCCAGCCATTCAAGGCTTGAAAAAAAAAGTCTCGCATGTTCACAACACAACCGCCACAACACACACACGCACACCAGCTGTAAACGGCGACAGCTCCCGGCTCCCTCCGCCCAACTGCTCGGCTCGCTTATGCTCCGACCCCCTCCTGACCCCGGCCCACGACGGCGGCCCCGGCCCTTCCCCCAGCAGACCTGACCGCAGACCCGGCGGGCTCCCGGGCCCGAGCTCTGGGTCCAGGGCGCGTCCCTTCCGCGTACCTGCTCCGGCCCCAGGTTCCTCTCGCGGGGGCGCCCGGGCCCTTCGCCGTCCTCCCGGCCCTGGCTGGCTCCCAACGCCAACCCCCTTCCCCCGGAGCCCCGCGTACCCGAGGATCCCCTGCAGCCCGGCGCCTGGAGTACTTACCACATGCAGCTCCACCTGGGAACTAACGCATCAGGAGGGGTTTCCGCCCACTCCTCAAGCTACACCCGCTCCATGCGGACTCCCCCGCTCCGGGGGCCCGAGGGTGGCGCCGGGGAGCGGGCTGGAGGCGAGACCCGGGCTAAGACTCCACCGTCCTCCGCCTGCGCGCACGGAGCATTATACAATGGTGGAGGAGGAGGCGGTGGCGGCGGCGGCGGAGGAAGCGGGAGGCGGGCGGAGGGGGCGCCCTGACTGAGCGAGCGGCAGCTCGTGCTCCAGCACTCGCCGTGCGGGAGTGACGTGCGGCCAGCGAGCCTCCCGCGAGCTCCGGCCGGGGGCTCCGCAGGCCCCGCCCCGGTCCGGCCCCGCCCCGCCCTCCGCCCCGCCCCCTCCCGGGCGGTCCCGGGAGGCGCGATCGTTGCCGAGCCGCGCTGCGGCCGCTGGAGGAGCAGGAAGGAGCAGGCGGAGTACAGGAGGTGCCGGTAGCAGCGCCGCCCCACAGCTCCCCGCTCCCGGTCCGGCCGGCGCACCCTTTATTTTCTCTTAAGGCTTAGGAGAGGGGAGGAAAGAAAAGGACACTTGGGCCAGAGAGCTAGAACTATCACCAGCCATCCCCCGACACTCCAGAAAATAGTCGAGTAAATGACGAAGCCGGTGGTGACAAAGGCAAAGGCGGCGGCGAGTGTAGCGCGCTCTCAGCCCGCTGAGTCGCGCGACCGCAAATATGACAAACATCTGAGCTATTCGTCAACTTGGGGCCGATCAACAGGGGGCGGGGAGGGGGGCGCGCAAAAATCTGGCCTCGAGGCACTGTGTCCACGCTGCCCACGCTGCCCGCGCAGGTCTCCAGACCTGCGCTCTGGGATGGCGGAGTCCGCGGGTCCCAACAGGACACTCTCGCACCCCCACCTCGCACCCAGGTTTGGGAACACACGAAGGACCCACTGAGATACCCAAATTGCTAGTGTCGTACGCGCGGTGGCCACAACCCAAGAGTCAAAACCGGTCACCAAGTCCACAATACTCAGAACTAGAGAGAACCGATCTGCATCATCATCCGTGGCTGTGCCTTGGTGCAGACCCCGTGGCCAGTTGCCCAGGCAGGGCCCCCGCAGATGGGAAGTCAGGCTTGAAGATACAGAAGTGTTCGAGGGGCAGTCCTCGGCCCAGAAGTTACATTGATAGCCTTTCCCCTTTCCTTAAGAAAGCTTTGGCTTTGAATGAGTTCTTACTTTTAACAGGAAAATTTATACTAGTTGGGAGAGGTGTGTGCGCGCCTAAATAGTGTGAATTTAAAAGCATTAAGAAAAGAGGCCAGAGACAGCTCGACTGGAATATTAATGATTATTTTTTTAAATTACATGCTCATTCAGTGTAAAGATATTATAAAAAGTAATTCAGTTACCTTAAAATTTTGGCTGTCACCCCAATCAACATTATCTCAGCTCGCTCTGGCATTTAATGGTCCACTATGCTAGTTGTATTTAAGGATAATAAAGCTTTAAAACCCAACATAAAGGTGATTATAAGTCGTTAACATCAAGACAAGTTTAGACCTCTTCAAGCTGTTCTGTATTGATTGGATATCAATCAAATTGATGATCCTATCGAAATTAAACTTCGACAATGTTTCCTGTTTTATCTTTATTTAAGGGGCGTGGAAAAGGTTTTCACTGTATAAGAAAATTCTCTACAGATGTTTCTTTAATTATTGTTGTGGTTAAGTGCCAGTCACCTCCTACTCAGATTGGCCCAATATACGGTGGTTTCCAAGGTAGTAGCTAATGTGCTTGAACTACCAACCTTGCGGTTTGCAGTCCAGGGCTTTTCCTACTATTTTGTGGATTAATTTTTGCCAAGTTAATCTTTTAAAAAGTTTCATTATAATGGTGTTTAAAAGACACTGAAGTAGTGTTCACAGCCTCTCTGTAGGGCTTGCTCAGTTTACCTGGGTGGCATATCATTCCAATATTTTTCTGTGAGCCAAGATCTTTTTTTTTCCTTTCCAGAGTTCTGCATTTTAGAGATGACACTAACTACTAACAGTTTCTTAACTACCTACTCAACTTATACTTTAAAGCACTCATCTTAGGAAAAGTCATTGAAATAGAAGCTAAATAATCTCTTCCAGTGATATCCTTGTAGGGAGTTCAGAGGCATCAGCTTGGTTAAATTTTAAATTAATTTTAAAATTTTTATGAATTAAAGTTAGCAGAAAGGTAGATTTGCAGAATTTCTGTGGCATTTGGGTATTTCCTAGCCAAGTGAAATACTAGATGTAGTGTCCCTGTAAAAAACAACAACAAAACAAAAAATTATAATTTTTACGTCTCGAGAGTAGACACACGATTCTGCCAAAGTATGTATTCTGGAGCTCTGGTAGCGTAGTGGTTACGAATTGGGCAGCTAACCTCAAGGTCGGCAGTTCGAAACTACCAGCTATTCTGTGGGAGAAAGATGAGGCTTTCTGCTCCCGTAAAGATGTAAAGATTTGCAGCCTCGGAAACCCTGTGCAGGGTCACTATGAGTCGGAACCGACTCCTTGGTACTTAACAACGTCAACATCTTATCAGGGAGAGCAGTAGCTCTGTAGGATAAACACCTGATTGTGAATCACAGGGTTGGCAGTTTGAGCCCACCAGCTACTCTCTGGCACAAAGATGAGGCTTTCTGCTCCTGCAAAGATGTACAAACTTGTAAATCCTATACAGGATCACTATAAGTCAGAACCAACTGGAGAGCGGTTAACAACAAACATCTTATCAATCCACAGGTTACATACAACTGCCTCCTCCCTACACTTTTGGATTTTGGCATCTCTGACTAAGAAGCCAACAACAGCTTGCTAATGTGATCCAACACCAGATGTTTAGCCCTTCCTTACAGGCCAGCACAGCCCGCCTGCTGGACCCTGGGAATCCAAGCCCATGAGAATAAGATGCCATGGGTATGCTTTTAAAAAAATTATTATTTATTCCTTGCAAATGGACAGAAATGTTAAGCACATGGTCACTCTTTGGGGGCATTTAAAAGATCACTTAAAATAATTCTACTCTCAGGGCCTAATTCAGAATTTAGTTTCTCCCTCTGAATTTCACACAACATAACTTTAGAACTAATATAAGAAATTAGGCCAGTCATCCACATTTAACTATCAGAAACATCTGAGGGGGACTTCAAAAAGTTCATGAAAAATCAGAATGAAAATACATGGGATTTTTTCCCATGGACTTTTTGATGCCCCTGTTATTTGTTTACAGAGAGAACAGAAACATTCATTATATTATGTAAGTAAAGAACTGAAGTGGTAATTTCTAAAAATACTCATGAGTATAATTTAAGAGTATTTCTCAGCATTATTTTGTAATTGTGGGTACAAATTTATACTTCGCTGCTTCTCTTTTGAAAATTTCTCTGTCCTTGCAAACTAGTAAGTTACTGTACTAACTTAAGGCCACTTTTAGCATTTAATTAGCATGCACCAAATAAATGACAGGAATAAGCTGGATATATAAACTGAGAAACAAAGACTTTAAAATGACTTTCAAACACTAATTATTTTTCTTTTGCTCTTTTATTACACATTTTGGACTCTACCTGAACTACTGCTAATTATCATCCATTTATATACCTTGCAAATATTGGCCTTAGCGGTTTTATGACAAACAAGATAAACATTTCAGGTATTAAAATAAATTATATATATAGTCAGCAGGGCTAAATAATCTTTTCATAAAACAGAGATATTAACTAAATTTGAACTTCCAATAGTAAACTTCTCTGATAAACTTCACTGATAACTGAAAATTTGGAATAAATCTTCAAAACAAAGTTTTAGCAGTTATAGCATCTGATTATCAAGGAGTTGTTTACACAGGATACATGATTTAGAAAGCTAAATATACTCACAAAGATGACATGGGTTCAGTACCTTTCAGCTACTGTTGTTGTTGTTGTTAGGTGCCATCAAGTCGGTACTGACTCATAGCGACCTTATGCACAACAGGCTGATCCTGGGCCAACCTCACTATTGTTGCCACACTTGAGCCCACTGATACTGCACTTGGCCAATCCATCTCGCTGGGGGTCTTCCTCTTTTTCTCTGACCCGCCACCTTATCAAACATGATATCCTTCTCCAATGACTGGTCCCTCCTGACAATGTGTCTGAAGTATAAGAGACAAAGTTTGGCCATCTTAGCCTCCAAGGAGCACTCTGGCTGCACTTCTTCCAACACAGATCTGTTGGTTCTTTTGGCAGCCCATGGCACTTTCAATATTCTCCTCCAACACCATAACTCAAAAGCATCAATAGCAATTTAAAACTTCATTCTGCCAAAGGAGCAAGTTGATTCATGTTACGTCTGCAAACTCTTCTCCATCTCTTCTTCCACCTACTTGGTCAGATTTTCCCCTATTTCTCCCTAAAGTCACACTTCACACATGCAACAACCTCAACACCACTAACAGGTTCCTTCTGCAAAGCTTCCCAGATTGTTGCAGGACTGCCTGACGACTTGTGCATGCAAAGAGAGGTTTCAATCTTCCCTTCCAAATAGGCCTTTCCTCTTAAAAAAAAAAAAAAAAAAGTACACCTGAAAATACTTGAATCCTAACTTGGGATAAAATCTTAAGGGCAAATTTAAAGAAAGTACATTTAAAACTATTGTTAGCACTGTGCTTTTGTTGATTCATCCCTCCTAACCATTACTAGTGATGGCTTCTGTTGTACCTTTGCTTCCTTCTTACTCCATTTGCCACAATTTTCCATGGAAACCCTTCAATAACTTGTGAGGCCCACCTCTAGAACACCCTCAAATGCTTCCACCTTTGCATTCACCCTCCCCTCTGCTCCACTGCAAAGTAACTCTAGGGCTCCCATCCTGCTGCAATGTTGCCCCCTCTAAGAGTGGTGGTGGCAGCTTCTCAGAAACATCTCTGCTCCTCCTAAGTTCTTGGCACAGTACTGCCCTCCTGTTGGTCTCTACACATTGACTCTATAATTGCCTGTCTACAAATCATTCTCCTTGAGGTGTTGACACTCTTCTCAGAACACTAGGCTTCCAGAGAAAATGTCAAG